AGAGGGAGAGAGGGGGAGAGAGGGAGGGAGAGAGGGAGGGAGGGAGGGAGAGAGAGAGAAAGAGAGAGACAGAGAGAGAGAGAGAGAGAGAGAGATTAGCATACCTCAGACGCCACGAGTCTCGGCTAGGAACAAAGAAGAAAGGCAGAGGCTGTGGCATCACCAGGCAGTAGGACAGTAGAGGAAGCACTGTGGTCCCCAGCAGCCTGCTCCTCAGAAGACACTGGCATCTCTTGCTACTTTGGTATCCAACATCCATTTCCACTGGGAAACCCCAGAGAGGAGAAATGTCTACACAACCCCTGTTCCCCCAGCCCCAAGAAGCAGATGCTACTGAGCCACTTGGAGAGCCATTTGCCACTCTCCAAGACCATGCAAGCTTCTGAAATCCAAGTTAGGCTGCCCTGTGCCCGACCACGCTTCAGACTCGGAGCTAGCTCGTACCCCACTAAGAGCCAAGGTCTTTCTAAGCGTGCCCACGCTCATCACCCACTCATCTGCCACTGAAAGCTAGCCTGCGCTCCAGACGCCAGAACCCCTCGGTGGTTGCACCGCACCCACCTACAGATCAGACACCCGAGCTACCGCTGTACACAGATACCTCCCATTGGCCCTGGGCCAAGGTCTCTCTGCGCATGCGCACACTGCGGGCACCCACGCTCAGCACCAAGGTCTCTCTGCGCGTGCGTGCACTCAACCCTTTCCTTCACACGCTATGGCAGGGGAAGATCTTTCCACACGGAAACCAGCCGGTAACGTCTGAAGAGGTGTCTGCTCCACCGAATGCTCACACATCAACTTTAATACAGCAAGGAACATGAAAAACCAAGGAGACATCTCACCGAGGAAAGAACAATGATTTCTCAGTAGCCGACTCCTAATAAATGGAAATATACAAACTGCCTGACCAAGAATTCAAAATAATTGTGTGAAGCAAGCTAAACAAACATCAAGAAAACGCTAAGAAACAATTCACTGAAATCTGGAAAATTTAACAGAAAGATTAAATCATTAAACAAACAAACAAACAAACAAAAAACCCCAAAAAACCCCAACAACAACAGTAGTTCTGGAGCCAAAAAATAAAATGAGAAATGCAACAATGAGCATCAACAGCAGAACCGATCAAGCAGAAGAAATCATCTGTGAATCTGAAGACATGTTATTTGAAAAAGATACAGACAGATATCCTAGGGTTTATTTGGTCAGCAGAACATAAAAAGATAGCATTAATTTTATGCAGACCAACAGCTTAATGAATTATAAACACACCGTGTTGGCCTACAGATCGATCAACAACCACCACCCATTCCCCTTTTATAAACCATGAAAGGCAAAGATCTAACACGGCCTTCCTCTGAAAAATTTCAACATGGTGATAAACAATTTTAATTTTAAAATAATTTAAACTCTAACCTTAGCTAGAGTTTTCTAGCTACTTATTGTTCACATTTCAATAGAAACAAATCCTGACTTCTAACTCTCAAACCCAAGAACTTTTGGGTTTTACTAACCAAAGAGTTTTCTGTTATGCAGTAACATCTCCATCTGCTGGAACTTTAGGTGTCTGCTAATTTCATGATCATGGAACCACCAAAATTCCAACTTTTTTTTTTTTTTTGGTGGGGGGAACAGATATTATTCCACTTAATTCCATTTTAACAAATATTTATCATGTGCTTAACATGTACTATACTCTGTGCTAAGTGATGTAAAAACCAAGACTGGTTAAGCTTAAACTCCTTACCATCAAGGTACTCACAACCTGGTGGGAGAGAAAATATGTAAATAACCATCATAACTCAATAGAATAAGTGACACACTTACATAATCCATCAATTCTGAGGTTGAGACAAATGGGACTATTGAGAAAAGTGTGTGGAAACCCAGGGGGACAGTTCTTTCCTGAGAACGGATATGTCTCAAGGACCAGCTGCATTTCTGCTCCTCCATCAAAAGTTCAGGTGTGGAAAAAGGGTGCAGCTGAGTACTGGGATGCATTCAGGATACAGCTGCTAAATCTAACAGCGGTTTATTTGGCTCTATAAACGGAGCTGGATACTGCCTGGAGGCCAAAGACTGCCAAATCCTAATTTAAGACATTGCCTTTCAAAAAATAGAATTAAAAAAAAAACTTATAATGAAAATACCTTATGACTTAAATAATACAGCACACACATTACCTTTAAATATGACCCATAGTATTTTGTTACATATGAGCTGTCACACTGACTCAAAACAGTTATTTCTTGCTGAATGTCTTCTATTTCATCTTCGGCTTCCTCGAGATCTATGATTTTAATAGCAACCACTTGCTGGGTACGATTATCAATTCCTTTGAAAACTTCTCCAAATGAGCCTTTCCCAATGCGTTCTAATTTTGTGAACAATTCTTCTGGATCAGCTATATTATTCTAAGGGGTAGGGGGAAAAAAAGAAAGAACACAAATGTTTTGAATCAAATTTTTTTTAAATGAAGGAAAATAAATCACATAAGACAGTAACACACTTTAAAAAAGCGTACAGACTCCTTTGATTTTCCACATGTGCTTTGTTAGAACAATTATAATCCCAAACAGCCAGCTAGTCCATAGTCTACTGGATCACCCACACTAACTTGGCTTAGCTGATCCTGCTACCAAAAACAATCCCATAAAGCAAATGTCTCTGGTGCCTTTTTGGAATGAAGCAGCTGCACACAGTACACAGTTTGCACATTAATGCAAATGTAGCAATAGTGAGAGAACGCCTAAGTTAAAGTGAATCATTTAAAATTCTAACATTCTGACAATATTACCTTTTAACTCTCCTTCTCTGTCTCCAACTCAGACATCCCAATCACCCCAACTGCACTTCCAAACCATCATCTAAACAACATTGAACCGTAAAGACTCAAGGATTTACAAGTTTTACTCGGAATCCTATCTATATGTAATTTTCTCATCAGTGGGTGAAATAAGATTCTATGCCTTTATTACAATTGCTAGTACTCATGAGGAAACAATAATATGTTGAACTTCCAGAAATCAACTCACAGTGGGGATCCAGAATAAGTTAACACTTTGCTAACAATAAAATCTGGAATCAAATGTAGCTTTTTCAGTTAACAAGTGTATAGGTATGACTTATATTTACAAATTCACTGTCCTTTTCTGATTCAGAAGTATTCTTTATCTTGTAATAAACAAATTTTGAATTAAAAAGCACATTATTAAATTACACTTAAGTGATTTGTTACTCTAAACCTTTGAGTTTCTTCAAAATATAGGAGGATGCTACCTAGTTCTGGTGAGCTATGTATATCTAGTTTGTCAATTGAACCTACAATATCTGCTTATTTACTATAGTTTTACCAGTTTCACCTCATCCTCAATTTCAGGAGACAACTATGGAGTTAGCATGTCCCTTATATCTTTATTAGATAAAGAGGCCATTATTTTTCTCTTATCAAGTTCTTTGCACCATGATCACCAAATAGACACACTATTCCCTCCAGTAAACTGCTTCCTTTTGAGGTAACTTCAAAACTTATGACTGCTTTTAAAGAATTTCACCAAGTTCTCTTTGTTCAGCCTGCCTAAAATAAAGTTTGCACATGACCTGTTTACCTTATAAGCTTCCCCATTCTCCTAGATTGGATTTTTTTTCATTTCTAAAAGATGCCCTTTCCATGTAGTACTCTCTTTGACATTGCAAGCTACTTATATATCCGCACCCACCTCCGATACCCACATGAAATAAACATATCTCGAGCTTCCCATATGGGTATTTAAATGTAGTTGAGACTTACAGGAGGCTGCAAATGCTCCTTTGATTTCCTTGGTGTTCTCTCTTACCAAGACACTGTACTTCATTGTGATAACCATTACATAGTGGCTAACCCACAATTACCTCTTCCTACTTTTGTCATGGAGCTTGTCTTTCTAGTACCATGTTGCAAAAATACCCACCAAATAGCGTGGTGATGGGTTCACCTCCCTACAACTTCCTAAATTCAGTGTACTTGGGAAAAAGAGTTCTTCAATTTTTCTGATACAGCTGCAAAACAATTCTAAATTTCAGAAATATATCATTGATTTAAAAATACACAGTATGAGGGTATGTCAAAAAGTTTGTGGAAAAATAGTATTAAAAGATAAAACGAATCTTTACATGAACTTTTTGAAGTACCTTTGCATGTGCCTTTTGATAACACACTGTGGGAGGTGTGTGTATTCACTAAGTTTATAACGAGACTCTTCTGTTAAGAAACAAAAATTAAATCCTAGTTTTCCTAATTAGTGTTTTAAAAGGATTTGACTGAAACAATCATCCCCAGGGAAGATACAGCTGTTCTGTGCTTTCTATAATAAATGGATTCCTGCAAATCTGTAAATCAAAGATTTAAAAACCAAGTCACATTTTGCATTTTAAAGAAGCTCTGAAGTGAATCCTAACTCATGAATATAATTTAAGATTTTTAAATGGAGGACTAGCAATTTAGAGACAGAAAAAGAGAAAGATCCATCATTTACACAACGTACTTTCTATTCTTTTATTTTGGGTCTAAAATTTCTCACGCAAAACACCAATTTTCAGATTGGAGGGAATCATGAGAACAAGTTTTCACAAGTTTCACTCACTTCCCTAACTGTCTGAGAGATATAGATCCCTGCCCCCTTTACTAATTCCTGAACACATGATAGATAATACCCAAGTTCTAATTCCCCCTTCACCATCTTAAACCAATGTATCCTGTCTTTATTTAGACAAATTTCCCTTCCTGATTTTATTTAGTACAAAGGCAAAAATTACGTAAATAAATGGTAAACATCCCAAGTAATGCAGTTTTGTAAAAAACACCTTTATAAAGAAGCTGGTTTGCCCAATCTTTCCCATTGTTCTTTGGTGCTTCTAAGAAAATCAGGTCAAGTCAGCTTCCTCTGCACCAAAATTAAATATTCTTTTAAGAATATTAAAATTTCTAGATCTTTTTATCTCTACCGTAAAATTATGATTTATTACTGTATGTGTGTTTCCATTGCCTTCTCAAAGCTGCAGCCCAGGAAGGAGCTCTAAGTTCTGTAGCAGCAAATAGGAGAAACTGCTAAATTAACTTCATATTGGTTCACGACTATGGTAGACAATTTCTACATGCCCCACCAAAAATGGGACTGTGAAAATGGAAACCTCATAGATCCACCTCAGGACACGCACATTATTCCTTAACCTGCATTACCTGTTCTTTGACTTGAATCTACACCCTTCAGGTATGAGTACACTGTTACAAAGTCCTAGACAGACGGTATCATTACTACTGAAACAACCATAACAACAACTATTCAGTAGGAAAATACTCTCAAGAAGTCCAGAAGGGAAAAATGTAAGGTGAACATCTTGCTTGTCTCCTGTAAAAAGTCAGTGGCTGATGGAGGAAGGCTTCTTGGATACTTAAACCACACAAACAGAAGGCTGGGAGAACTCAAAGGTTCTGTAAGTGCTCTCCCTTCCTGGCTGTGTATCAGAATCACCTGTATAACTTTAAAAATGCAGCTCTCTAGGGCCGGCCCGGTGGCGCACAGCGTTAGTGCGCCGCTTGGGAAGTGTGGTGGCGCTCCCGCCGAGGGTTCGGATCCCACATACAGACCGGTTCCCGCTCACTGGCTGAGCGAGGCGCGGGAGCAACACCGA